TTCTTTTGATGTTTTGTATGTTCAGATATTCATGTAACAAAATATATACAAATTAATACCTAAATAGGGACATAGTAGTATACTTAAAGTATGATGTAAAGTTCACTGAAAGAAAACTTACGAGTATACTTGCAATATAAAACTACTAAACTAGTAGTTTACTGAGACTATACTTCAGTGTACTAAAATGCTAAAAAAAGTGTTTAATTAGTAAACTATCAGTATACCTATAAGTTCACTTTTAGTATAGTTGCAGTACAAGCTAAATATATTGATGTAAACTAGTTGTGTACTCAAAGTTTACTACTGTTATACTTAAAGTATACTTAAAAGTTTAATATCTTAAAAGTATACTTTTATGTACTAGAAAGTGGGCCAATTTAGTCCCAATGAGTATTTAAATAGTACACTTACAAGTATACTACTAGTACACTGATATTTGTATACTTACTACGTAAAGTATACTTTAAAATATACTTGAACTTTACGTAAGTATATACTTAATAAAATAAACTTGATGTATACTACTTTTTGGTAAAGGGTGTTTTGAAACTTAGAGTGTGTTGATTTTTTCTTCTTTTTTTAGTGTGGCAGTCCTCATAACACTTATGCTTATAGTTATCTCTATATATAAAACGTTTGCAAAACATCAGTTACTTTACATTAGTCCAGTGCAACAGCTAGTAGCTTTTTTTTTTACAGAGCGTCTGTTTACATCCCAACCTACACGTTTCATGGCTAGGACTTGGGCGATGGGGGCATAAATAATCAACATGATCATTTAGCAATACTTTAAACATTATTTACGAGAGAATGTTTGTAGTTTGTGAAAAACATGTTGGTGTTATGGTTCAATCCGATGTGAGTCACGGACACATTCCTCAACATATAGAGAAACTCAGCAGCCACGTTAAGAGTCACGTGATCAAGAATCCTTACATTACACAACAGTGAGAAAAATGTATGCAGCATATGCTTTTAAAATCTGTTTTCGTGTTTCTGCAACGCCCCATATACTCCCCCTTCAGCGATTGAAATATTAGGCTGAAGTCACTACCTCTGCTTTTATTGAACTGACGACCTGTTGAATGAAGCTGACGGGTGTTTAGCGTGAACACTCAAACCGCATCAATGCCGAGCTCTCCGGCGTAAAATCACTCTGTTGTACAATGACAGTCTTTCATTTGGATGATTTCTTGGCAGGATGGATTGGAGGTGAGTTTTATTTGTTTTGCATGTCTTGTAAAAAGTGTTTAACATTACTAACAAACCACCAAAACGCATTTTTCGCCGAGCAATATTGTTTGATTTATCGGAAGCCTATATTTTTTAAAACTTTGAGGAAGTTTGTTTCTCGAACTAGTCATCGTCACGTCTATAAACCCCAGCTTTGTTCGTTTCAATGAATCTACTACTCTTATTTTCTGCATTTTCAGAAGAAAAAAAAATGTCTTGAAACTACAGCGAAAATTGTCAGGATAAAGAGTCGAAAGCACGTCTGATTTAGAGATGGAAAGAAAGGGGCGTCTTTGTTTATGTTTACCAGCTATATGATGGAAAGAGTAAAAAAAAAAAAAAAAATTATTTCTGCAAGTTGCAAGAGAATATACATCTGTGTCTATTTTTACCTAGTTTTGTGTCACGTGTTCGTCAAAAACCATGTCAGTACAACGTTAATATTTTCTAAAAATCTCGTTCGCGCAAACAGCGCTGATTGACAGGACTGGTCGACATTTCTCGGCCAAACCCGATCTCATTTAAGTGCGTATGAATAGTACGCCAAATAAAAACCAAAAATGATACGCAAAAATGGACGTGTATATGCTACGCGATGGGTAGGTTTAGGGTTGTGGGGTAGATGCGTATCATATGCACGCCAACAAATTTTGTATCATATGCACGCGAAAATTGCGTGTTATATGCACGCCAAACACATGCGTATCATATGCACGCCAAAGTCCATTTTTGCGTAACAATACCACGAGTTATCGTTTTTATTTGGCGTGCTATTTATACGCATTTTCATGAGACCGGGCTCCTCGGCCATAAACTTGGTTTGGGTGGAAACCTCCATTGAAAGGAAACATTTATTCTGTAAAGCCCTAATGTGCATGTGCATCCACCATGAAATGTTCATAACAATGTAACTTATTCATAAAATGGACACTCTGTTCTGCAAGAAGAGCCCCCTACAAAGCTATGCAGTAGGCAGAATATCACTATTGCCTTTGTTGCAACATATTTAACTTGTACAACTGTTTTTGTTACAGGAGCGTCCAGTGTGATTGTAGGACATCCACTTGACACAGTCAAGGTATCGAGACAAATCCTTGTTTTGTGATTCATTTTGTACAAATCCTATATTATGTATTTATTATATATTCAAATATTATAAAATGATGTAGTTCATATTATATATCTATTTTTACATACAAAGGTAGTCGGTATTACTTTCTAAGTTACTTATTTTTTCCCACTGGTATAACATTATTGGTTAGGAATGAGGTGAAAAATTCCTTTATGCTCTTTTACAGACTCGTTTACAAGCTGGCAGAGGATACAGGAACACTCTCCACTGTGTTGTAACAATCTACAAAAAGGAAAATGTAAGGCTCACTGACAATCTTCATAATTGAATAAAAAATGTACTGTCAAATATTTTTCACAATTATTGCGGCACAGCTCAATGAATACAAGAGCCTTGTATTCATTGAGCCATTCTTGTTTTGCTGTACATTTAGAGATCTGTATTTTCTCTCAGGTACTTAAACTTTATGAAAAGCATATGACAATGTATTTACACAATGAAAATATGGCTATTAGGATGAGGATGGATCCAGCTAGACGATTATAAAAATTACATTTGTATTTCCTTTGCTCAGAGATACTTAGCTTACATGAGGATTGTTAATTTATTTAGATCAGTTTGATTAGTCATTTAGAGTTTTTTCATCTTTTGAAATGTTGTTAATATCATACCAATTTCTACTAAAGATGATGTCACTTCCTGGAGGCTGATGTCATTAAGGGCCTGTCTTTTGATAGTGAAAAAAGAATATTCCACAATATACCAAAAGGATGGAAACAATATTAAAGATACAAAAGCAATGGTAACACTTTAGTTTAGGGTCCAATTCTCACTATTATCTAGTTGCTTGTTAGCATGCATATTACTAGCATATTGGCTGTTTATTAGTACTTATAAAGCACATATTAATGCCTTATTCTGTATGACCATATTTTAGATCCCTTAATCCACCTCATACCTAAACTAACAACTACCTTACTAACTATTAATAAGCAGCAAATTAGGAGGTTATTGAGGCAAAAGTCGTAGTTGATCGTTAGTTAATAGTGAGAATTGGTCCCCAAACTAAAGTGTGGCCAAAGCAATTAGTACAACCATAAAACATTCTAGCTGGACAAAATGAAACATACGTAAACATCAGCAATATTTTCTCATAAATTGCCAGTTTTTCATATAAAATAATAGTTCGGAACTCTGGCAAATGATAATAATGTGATAATAATGAAAAAATAATAATGTGATGTCCATTTTTAGGAATTATATGTCATTTAATTATATATAAAGACATATAGAATTGGCAAAAGCCACCAATAAAATTCAAAGGGCATGGGACAAAATGTAATGCAATAATTTAATAAAGTGAGCCCCCTCACTCCCAGACTCAATGAGCAGGCTATATCTTCATCACAGGGCTTGGGACTATATTCCCAAGACTGCATATCAGGAACGACCCTGTTTTTGGTGTAAACAGGTATTTGCTTTCCTGGAAGCAAAAGTACACAATCCATCTCTCTTTTGTGTTGTCTCAGGTTACAGGCTTTTTCAAAGGACTGTTCTTTCCATTGGCCAGCATCACCCTCTATAACTCTATGGTGTTCGGCTTCTTCAGCAACACGCAGCGCCTCATTAGCAGATATCGATATGGTGACAGCAGACAGCCATGCAGCATGCTTGACTTGACTGTAGCGAGCATGTTGACTGGTCTGGTTTCAGTGGGGGTGGGTGCCCCTGTTGACCTTGTCAAAATTAGACTGCAGATGCAAACCCAACCTGTTCTTGCAGGTGAGCTAGAGTCTTGGCTATAAAAACATTTTAGCACCCTGCAGCTATGCATGGAGTCAGAGAGAGCGTACTCATGTTAACAGAAAAAATCGTTCTGTCTACTGAAAGCTTCTCAAAGACAAACATTTCCAGGGAAATAATGACTTTTGCACACAGTATTCCTCATGAACTGTTTTGTGTGTTTCCAGAGAACTTTAACCTTGCTGGGAATGGGAGTGTCCCTCTCCGGTCAATGGGAATTCAGTCCCAGTCATTGTACAGAGGGCCACTGCACTGCATTAGTACCGTCCTGCAGAACGAGGGCATTCAAGGGCTCTACAGAGGCGCGGGAGCCATGATATTGCGGGATGTACCTGGTTACACCCTATACTTCATACCGTACACGTTATTCTGTAAGTGGCTGAATCCCGATGGCAATGGCCCGCCTCATCCCTGCTGCATATGGTTAGCAGGAGGTTTAGCAGGTAAGTGAGATTTGGGCTGTATTCCAAAATTTAATAGTTGCTGTCTACCGCCTACACAGACAGCTGCCTTCTAACTGAAATGGAACCTAATAAGTGACTGATTTAATACACTCTCAAATGAGAATAAGCACAAATAATAACGGTAAGACCACATCATCTTGTATTGATCATATTTATTTGAGTGATGATGATTTTTACGTATTTATTTGAGCGATGATGACAGTTACAGAAATATGCTACTAGACAGGCTACAGAGGGAAGATTTGTAGCAAACACTAATTTCCTTAAACGAACAGTAGTATATAGGGCAATGAAAACACGGAATTCTTTACCATTGCCTTTAAGTAAAATAATTCAATTTTAAAAGGCAGGTAAAGGATCTTATTTATAGAAGGTTATGTATAGAATTTAGTCAAATGAGCAATTAGTGTTAGAAGAGGTGTTTGGTACATTCACAGGTGGTTGTAAGGTTGATGAAATGTATAAAATGTTGTTTTTGAAAAGGACTAGTTATTAGTTGTATTTCATGTTTTTGAGTATGTAATAATGCATGGATTTGAAGTGTTTTCATGTTTTTGAGTATGTAATAATGTATGGATTTTAAGTGTTGTGTGGACCCCAGGACTAGCAGTGCTCTCGGGCATAGCTAATGGGGATCTAAATAAAAACTCAACAGACTCAACTTGCAATTGTTTTCATTAGAGTTTTATGTTAGCCTGTTGCTAAGCTTACAACATAAGTCCAACAAAAGTTGCATTCGGTATTTAATGGATTATATGCATAATCAACATTTCTCACCTTCAAGGAACAGTTCAGCCAAACATGAACATTTGCTCACTCTCAGGCAATCCAAGATGAGTTTGTTTCTTAATCAGAACAGATTTGGAGAAATGTAGCATTGCATCACTTTTTCACCAATGGATGCTCTGCAGTGAATGGGTGCCATCGGAATGAGTGTCCAAACAGCTGATAAAAACATCACAATAATCCACAAGTAATCCACACCACTCCAGTCCACCAGTTAATCCAAATATCCTCTGATGAAGAAACAAACTCATCTACATTTTTGATGACTTGAGGGTGAGTATTTTCACCACATTTTCATTTTTGGGTGAACTATTCCATATTTTTTTCTATGCTTGTCATAATGCATTATAGTATTGCATTCACAAAAGATACATGTAATACTGTCATAAAATGTGGTCATATCTCATCTCAGAATGCAGTCTAATACATTAAAACTTTCAAATGCAGCATGCATACACAGTTTTTTCTCTAGGTTTAACAGAGCTATTCTTTTCTTGTCTGAATGTGATGCTCACCTAAAGAAACATCAGATGTGCTTGTAGTGTTTTTCAGTCTGTTTGCACACGTGTTGAATTGTTTAAAAGTTGTCAGACCCTCTGTATGACACCAAAGCACTTCTCAGCAGTCATGCACAGATTAACAAGGGTACATTTGGTTTAAGATTGTGGGAGGGTGGATTGTTTTGAAATTTCTCACTGTACTTTCCGTTAAAAGTTTCCCTCCTATTGATGTCTGACGGGAATTAATCTAAATATGACCCTACTAGGAGTCAGGCATTTTAAGGACACAGAATACTTCACATGAGGTTTCACTTGTGGTTATGCTGTTGTTCCACAGGATCCATCTCGTGGGTCACCGCCACACCAACAGACGTGGTGAAAAGCCGGTTGCAGGCAGATGCCATGCAGCACAGGAAATACAAGGGCATTCTGCACTGCATCATGCAAAGTTACAAGACAGAGGGAATACATGTAAGTTGCTGATGGATGCGAGGTTTAAAATGAAGTTACAATGCAGAAGCTGCAGGACATGCACAGCTGCTAAACAAGTTGTAACAAGCTGAAACAATTGCATGGCCAAACATGTTTCGGTGGTATAAAATAGGTCACAGACACAGTAATAGAGAGCTTTTAAAGGCCTGGTATAAGTTAAAAACAACATTAATATGCTGATTCAGAGTTTTGTGAAATATGAATGTAATACTGATGCTTTTGTTGTTTTTTCCCTGCTTTACTATCTATGTCCAATGCAGGTTTTCTTTCGTGGAGCTACTGTCAATGCTATCAGAGGATTTCCAATGTGTGCAACCATGTTTCTTGGTTACGAGCTTTCCCTTCAGTTTTTCCGCAGTTTCTAGCACAGACTTCCAGAAATGATTTTAGGGGATTCATGATTCTAATGGCATGTTAGAGACTTACATGTGGCATGAACGTGAGTTCATTGTTGATACAATGAAGAGTATCAGTGCGGGTTTTCTTATATTAAGAAAATAGTGAAAAATAGGTTTGAAAATATTTTGGTTTGCTCAGATATTTTAATATATGATTATGCATCATCTGCATGTACACTAATTTCTATTTTGCTCAAATATACCTGTCCTATTATACATGTATATCTATTCTGCATTTGCAAGTGGTCACATTTATACATTATCACCTAATAAACCACTAGCCTTTGCTTGAATGAGTTTTTATCTACTTCCCCATCTTTTTAAATCAGTTCATTAGGCTGTCAGATATCATTTTTTGCAGGAAGGAGCGCAATTGAGCAGACACAACTTTTTCTACAATTTTAGACATAAAAGGACGATTTGAGATGGGTCTGTAATTTGCCAGTTCACTAGGATCTAGTTGTGGTTTCTTAATAAGAGGCTTAATAACCGCCAGCTTGAATGTTTTTGGGACGTGACCTAAAGACAACGACGAGTTAATAATATTGAGAAGCGGTTCTTCTGCTACAGGTAACAACTCTTTCAATAATTTAGTGGGTACAGGATCTAACAGGCATGTTGTTGGTTTAGATGCAGTAATAAGTTTATTTAGCTCTTCCTGTCCTATAGTTGTAAAGCACTGCAGTTTATCTTTTGGTGCGATGAATGAAGCTGAAGTATTTATTATACGCTGTAGAATCTACATTTGTTATTGTATTTCTGATGTTATCTATTTTATTGATGTCTGTTATTTATTAGTGATCACATTCTTTTGTTTAACCCCTGTATATAAAATGAAAGATTTTGATGTTGCTTCTGATACACTAGGTGGCGCTGTTTCATTATGTCGGGAAAATCGGTAGTAATATTATGGAGATGTAAAGAACAATGTTTCCACTAGATGGTGACACTGTATCTAAAACAAACTTGTGAGACCAAACCATTGTTGAGGGCTCTCAGGTTGAAAAAAAAATGATAGCTCTTGTTCAGAAACAATACGATTTTCTCTGAAAATGGTTGGTATTGCAGGGAAAATACTCTCAGTGATATAGCTGCAGAAAAATATCAATAAAATGTAAACTGATCATATTGATTTTTAAAGTATATTGACTTAAAAATCAGTGTAGATTACTTGTAATTTGTAGTCCGTTACTGATTACAGAATATGATGAAGAAAACTGTAGTTAGTAATGTAATCTAGGTTACTCATTTTAGGTGATGTATTGTGATTACTTTAGATGACTTTTTTTATCAAACGTGTTTTAAACTTATCATTAAACGTACCATATTGATATAAAAAAAGCAAAGAGAAATACAATGTATTCCATTTTTTTATATTAACGTATACAATGCATTAAAAACTAAATTACACCAGGGTTTCCAAACTGGGCAAGAACTGCAGTGGGGTATTGAGTTGATATCCCATTAAATGTTACGCCCCATTTTTGAACATGGATGTGAAAGTGCACTACTTGTCACGAATCCGGTCCACGAACTTTCCTATTCATTGACTCTCGCACTACACACTGTTGCACATCACCCCGGACTACATTTCCCATCATGCATTGCACTGATTGCACTCAGCACGAATTGCACACACCTGTTTACACTGATTGCACCCAGCTGTTTCATATCACTCCCTCACTATTTAACACTCACTCTGATCCCTTCCCGCTGCCGAGTATTGTTTCAGCGTTTATCACTCTCCTAGAGATAGCTACCTTACGGAGCCCTTGTCATTGCCTTAGCCCTAGTCATTTGCCTTAGCCTTAGCCCTAGTCATTAGCCTTAGCCTTAGCCCTAGCCCTAGCCCTAGTCTAGCTGTTTTCCCGGTTTCTGATCTTCGCCTGGTTTCCTGGATTTCTCCCTTAGTCTTGCCCCTTCTGACTCTGTCTGCCCATCGTCGACCCACGCTAGCCCTAGGACTGTTCTTGTGTCTTGCCCACCATATACCTGTCTGCCTCTGTTTGACCCTGCCTGCTTCATGACCACGTCTCTGTCTTCTCCACAATAAAGCCTTGCAGATGGATCCGCACGTCTCACGTCTCGTCAGCTCTGTAACACTACTATACAAACTTAAACTGTTATAATTCAACACTTTGGAATACAGGTTGGTCTCTTTTTAAAGAAGACAACCAGCAGATTAATGCAGTCTCATTTCAAAAAATAATTTCAAAAGTTATGTAAGTTGAAAAGGTACTGTAATTTTTTTTATTATTATATAAAAAAATATATTAATAATAAACATTATATATAAAAAAAATTGTTTTATCTAAAATTGCTATAAAATTAAAGTCATATGTCTCAATAAGTTATGTTCCAAATTTGAAGTTGATATATATAAAAAAGAGGTTTAGGCGTTATATACCCAAAATCTATTGATTTTATTTATTTTGATGCAATTTTCTGTCAAAGATGTATACATTTCTCTCTCGGTATTACTTCTATCTCAAAATAAGATTAATAAAAGATTATACAAAGTTTTGATTGTAAAATACCGTAATACGTTTTGTAATATGACACTTGACACCACCCACTAAGGGGGAGGAGACTGCTAAAAGATTTTAAAGTACCATTTCAATGGTATTGCAATGTCCAATTTCAAAATGGTTTTAATTTTGAGATTGTAAACTTTCAAATGATGTATAATTTATGATGATTACTAAAAGAAAAAGACAACAACAACAAAGAGCGCTAAGTGTCCCGCAAGCAGGACGGTGACAATTGAGGTGATATAAAGCTAATAATTAAATAAATAATAAAAATGTAAAACAAAAATAATAATCACTTAACACTTAAACACTAAAATATATATATCTGTTTACCTGCATGTCAAAGTGACCATTAACTGCCATGTGTTGTTAAATTATTGAAATATTAACTTCCTCAGAGATATTTGAAGTATATTTTATTTTAAGGGGTTTGGCTGACAAAGTTTGGGAATCCCTTACATGAACAAATATTAATAAACATGAAAACATCAATGATATTACACCCCAAAAGTCTCCCAGGTTTGAAATATTTTTGTTCAATCGTCAACAAAAATGTATTTACATTTCTGAATAGTCAAAGCTAAATGGTATGCCACATAGTAGGATTTTTAGAAAAGATAATTAAAAGAGAAAAAAAAAAGAATAATTAGGGAGATGATGAATAATTTACTGTAATTGTGTGAATAATATGCAATCATGTAATCTGATTATGAGCACTTTAAAATGTAATATACTCCAATTACAAGTACTTAATTTTTGGAATCTGATTATATAATCCAGATCACATGTAATCGGTTACTACGCAGCTCTGCCTGAAATCATGTCTCAGTCATATTTAAACAGCTTGCTTTAAACATGACCTGATCTTTTGAGCACAGTGCCAGATTTCTGGCAGACGCAGCAAAAGGTCTCCTGCTTTTATGGACAGCCAGTGGAGTGATAGATGAGGTTTAAGTGAAAACATGAGGACACGGGCAGCATCTAAAGCACCAGTCTGAGTGTGTCTACCTCACTGCAGCTGAACAGCCTCCACTGAAAACGGATGCTAGAAGCCCCAAGCAAAACAGCCAAGTCAATCAAGCCATAAAGATACTGCCAAAAACCCTTTTAGTGGTGCTTCAGTAATCTTATGCTATTATATACTGTTTGTATATTATGTCTCTATCCATCAATCCATCCATGTTCATCATTTGGCTTTAGCTGTGTGCACACTAAAAGAGAAAGTAAAGTTTAATGTATCAAAAGTAATACGTAAGTAATACTCAGAACTATTCTGAGAAATAAAAATAGGCAATTATAAACAGACCACGGCCTTTCCTTTGCTTTGAAATATTCATATCTTTAGATTAAATGAGGACTCAGATGTGGGGGCTCCACATGCAGCAGTGATTTGATCTATTTTTGTTCATCTTGTTCATTTATTTGCGTGAATATGTTCACATGTCACTAAATCTGACGTGAACCAGGCTAATCAAGACAGATGTCCTGCTCATTAATATCAGCTGAATTATGCCCATTTCCCCCAGGCTTTTGTACGAAAGAGGTGATGTGTGCTCTGAGATATCAGACCATCATATATTAGAAATATAATTTTTATTGTGACTGCTTTATAGATGGTGAACAAACAAAGTCCAGCTCTAAAGCAATATGTTGCTTGTTTTTTGACAGGGTTGCTGCCTGTGGGCTGTTCATGTGCATCATGAATTATGTTTTATTGCTCATTTGTTGTTGGGTGAAAAGAAATGTGCATGCCATATGCTCTTCTTTGATCATTTAAAAAGCCTGTAGCTCAACATACTTAACTGCTGTCCTCATTTGCAGTTTTCTTTATTGTTGTAGAGGTAATAACACATATATAACATTTTTATAATATATATATATATATATTCATATTCAAGTTATGTCAAACTCTAATAAGATATTATATCAAATTCCCATTTGTGAGAGAGAGAGATCATAATAACAAACCCCTGTAATCACAAATTTCTAGAAAAGTAATATAAATTCATTGGTAATAAAAAGTGTAAACGTTCAAGAACATTCAGTTAAAACTTCGGGAATTACAGAAGATAATTACTTTAATTATTTGTATACATTTTTTTTTTTTTTACATGTTATTATTTTAAATACAATTTATAATTGTATACATATTTAAATATTTAATCATTTAAATTGCATAAATTATAATAAATATATATTAGCAATTATTATCAATTAATAATAATTAATAAAACAAATAATAATACTTATTATTTATTATTATTATTGCAGCATGCAGCAACTGGCAATAAATAAATCCTTAGCAACGGCCAACCAATGAAAATGTATCTATTTTATCTAGTTCAAATCACATTTAAGTATCGAAAGTATGCTAATAAAAAACAAAATAAAAAAATCATACAAGCTAAACTTACATCCTTTCATCCTTTTTTTTTTTTTGCTGGATGGAAACAGCTTTGAGTCAGGTCTCTGAACATTTGTCCACTGAGCCACAAGCTGTTAACCTGCAGCTCTGGACACATTGGTGTTGGTGTTGTTGGCGGCTGAATGCACACAAGACATTAATCTGACCAAATAAGATATGGAATTTTCTCTTAATCTAATTTCAGACATTCAAACGCGTCATACGGTAGCTTGCTTAATTAAATTGCATTCAGTTATTTTTTGAACAGTGAATACTGAGCCGTACACAGTCTCAAACAACAAGCCCTACAATGCTCTTCATTAGTGTTTTCCTCGATAACTCAGTTAAACTGGTAATAATCGATTTGTTTCGGAGAGCACAGTCATATTATC